GTAGTGCCAGGACACACACAGGACATTGGGGGCTCCAGCAAGCCCACCCTCCCCTTTTTCCCTCTTTCCACTTTCCCTCCCTTGTATCCTTCTCCATCCTGACCTTCTCTGGCTCGCTATCCTCACCCTTCGTGTTCTGTGCTGATGCCCCATGGCGTTGACTTGTCTCACCCTCTTTCAGAGTCTGCTGCTGGGACCTGAGTGCCATGCTGGCCTCAGCACGTCAGCGAGGAGGGCTGACGGATCTCCCTTTATGGTGCCAACATTCCAGCCATTTTAATCCCATCTTCTCCACAGAATGTTTCAGTCTTACTTTGTAGTCTCACCAACTGCCCTCCCCAGGAGGCTGCTGCTCTTGTCCCTGCATTCCTGGAGTCCTGAGGATGCCTTGTTCTGGTGGTGGCCACCCAACTTGCTGCCCAGGACTAGGAACAGGGTGGTCTGTTCATTGCAGGTGTACTGAGGCAGCTGCCAGGGAAATTCTGGGCCTTGAGCTCCTATCAAGATTTTCACTGCTTGCCTGGGACAGGTGGCCTCAAGGGGTGGGAGATGGAGCACCACATATTGTGTGCATGTGTACACACATGCAGGCACATGTGCGGCTGCCAGGGTGCCCTGCCGCCCTGGAGCTGACTTGCTCCATGGCAGTGTGATGGGGCTGTCTGGTTGGCATCTTCTGGGAAAGCTGCCCTCCTGGCCCACAGGGCACTGCAGAGACCCAGGTGTGGAGATGAAGTTCCCTGCAGTGGCCACAGGGGGCTTGCATGTGCCTGGCATACAGCTGCTCATGACCCAGCACTGTGGAGCCCAGGAACTGGGCAACAACCCAGTGAGGAAGGATGCATACGAGAATCTTGAAGACACTGTGGTCTAATGGAAAGATCTCTGTGTTTTGAGTCTAAATTAACTCTGCTGTGGACTTGCCATGAGCCAGGCAGCATTCTTATTCTCAAAGGGATATGTGTCCCTGCCCAGGACAAGGAGCCCTGGGGATAACTTCAGTGACATGGAACTCTGCTGTGGACTTGCCATGAGCCAGGCAGCATTCTTACTCTCAAAGGGATATGTGTCCCTGCCCAGGACAAGGAGCCCTGGGGATAACTTCAGTGACATGCAAAAGCCCAGGACTGGCGGTGAATAGGCGAGACCCAGGGTGACCCCCACACCAGGGCTGAGCTACTGGATGGCAAAGGAGCTCCAGCTCTCAGGCCTGTGGCCTTAGATAGATAGGCAAACTGACTTCTCAGGGCTCAGGGTGAATGTGTGTCCGAGCACCTGCCTGGCACCGATGCTAAAGTCTCAACTCCTTTCTGGGCTTGACAGGGCTTGGTAAAGGGTCCTCAGCACACGGGGGCCCTGAGCACCGAGGGGTACATGTAAAATGCCCTAGGTGACCATAGACTCCCTTTTTTTGTTGTTATCAAGTGAAGAAATTTACCTAGAAAGGTAAGTCGATGCCCTTGTGTGGCCTCATGTAGCAGTTTAGCTACATTTTACTCACTTGTCATCAGGGATCCCTCACAGGCAGAGGGATCCTCTCAAGAGTTACAAGGATTCACTTTGCTAGGGTCACCAGGCCTCACTGTTGGAGAGAGACTGGAAGTGGGGCTGGCTTCCACCGTCAGCTCCATCTGCTGTGCATGTTGGCATAGTCACCGTTCCCACCATGCTCTGGCACTGATGCCCATTTATGGTGTGAACTTGGAGTTTTCTAAATTTGCCAAGGTTTCAAATTGTGCTTCTAATACTACAGACGCTGTGTATTTTGAAGCGTTTTTATTTTGTTGTGACAAAACTTCTATCGTTTTAAATTCTTTGATGTCACTATGAAATAACCTGCCCTCCGGCTTTTCCCTAATTTAATTTCTTTTGAGCAGGATTCCCACATCTAGAAAGGGGATGTGGAATGCACAGATGCCGATGCTCAGTCTGTGCTCAGATCTGCCTGTGTATAGGATCTCTCCAGTCTGGTAGGACTCAACTGTAACAGTCAGTGACTATGACATTGCACAGGTAGATACCACCGGTCTCTGGTCATAAGAGTGAATTTGGTGACATACAGGAATGCCTGCTCTCCACCTTTGCCCCAAGAACAGTATGAATGCCAACACCGGCACCCTGAGCTCCCTCGGTTGTAAGATCAAGTCTAACAATCTGCCCTCTGCACTCTCCTTTCTACATCTGGCCCCACGCAGCCACGAGGTTCCTGGGGTAAGCATGTGGTGGCTGCAGGGCTCCGCAGCCATCACTTGCCATCCAGGTGGTTCGGGCTTCATCAAGGGGTTCAGAGGTCTTGTGTGACCTCCTTCTGAGGTTGTCCGGTTGGTCCATTCTTGTGTTTGGTTGGAACTGTCCAGCCTCACATCTCTAGTGGGTAGAAGTGTAGGCTGGGCCTTCAGGGCTATGCAGAGGGGACTTCCTGCAGCCTCCCCTGCACCCCCAGTCACTCAGTGTGTGCCACTCACTGAGGTCCCACTGTAATGCCTTGTTCTCAAAATGGTCTTTCGAGTCTCTGACGTGAGTTACCTGTAAGAAATTGAGAATAATATTGATTGATCCCCAGTACATGTTAAGTGTCTTTGATATGCTTGTTGCTGCATCACTTTGGCTTAAAACAGGAAAAAGAATGCACTCTTGTCAGGATGTTTTATTTTACTTGAGGAGAAGCTGTGGTCCTGAGAGTCCAGCAGCCTCGTCAGACACCAGGAATTTTCCACACTGCTCGAGTCTGTTAGCTTTGTGATGAGAGAAGTATCTGTCTTCCAGGCGCGTTCTGCAGGGCTTTCTGCAACTGGGGCTGTGGGCCAAGTTGGTAGGTTGCTGTCTGGCCCTGAACCCAGATAGCCTCTTTCACTTTATGTGGTTGAAGAAAGAAGAGATCATCCCCTACCCTGAGTGCACTAGCGGTGGCAGGGTGAGGGGGCAGATGCTATCAGGAAGGAGGGCCCGCCAGCTCAGGTGCAAGTGCCTCCCTCAAGGGTGCAGCCTTCCTGGTGTCCACTGGCCATGGCCATGCAGCTCTGGCCTGCTCCTGACCCTAGGATGCTGGACAGTTCCAGAATGGCCACATGCTGGGAGAGTGAAGTCCTCTAGCTCTGACCACATTGCTAAGGAAGCAGTGGGGAATTCCTGACTGGTGGGGCCACTGCTGGACATTCTGAGGTTTCTTCCTCTGTATCATATCCTGGGTCAACCCTGGACTGTCTGGTGATTTAATTCTCCATGCTGAGAACTTCCTCTCTGGGGAAGAAGGGGCTAGGGTACCTTTTCTGCACACCTTAGTCATGTCCCTGGTGGAGCTGAGGGACCCCCCTCTGTACATCTTAGTAAGTGCCTGGTGAGGTTGTAGGCCCTGTAGGCTATTTGGAATTTGGACAGAGATCCTGGTGGAAAAGAACATGAACCATAAAAAGCAGCCAGTGCTTTGCTGGGGACAGATGACAGAGGGTTAGAAATTCAGCCCTTGGGGAGCACCATCTTGCAGAGAAATTGGCAGACACCCAGCACCTTCCCTGGTTGCCAGCTGCCCCAGGGCAGTACGGTCCTGCAGTCAGTCGGTCCTGCTGGGTGAGCCTCGAGGCCTGAGAAGGCTGACAGCTTTGTGCCTGCAGCCGGAGTCTGCTCTGGGAGCAAGTGTGCAGTGCCACTGATCCCTGTTAACCTCTCTATTTTCTGTTTGTAGAAAGTCCATGAGATGCTGAAGAAGGGGTGGGATGCTGAAGGCTCTCCCTTCCGAGGCCAGCGATTTGACCCGGCCATGTTCAGCATCTCCCCAGGGGCCGTGCAGTTTTAATGACCGGAAGGGAAAGAAACCCTCGCCAGCGGGGAGGCGGCGACCTTGTCCTCAACAGTCCCCCTCGGCGCCCTGCATATACCAGGGACTCGCTCATCTTGTTCACCCCTAGCCATCCTTTCTTTCAAGGGTGAACCAGGGGAAACCCTCGCCAGCGGGGAGGCGGCGACCTTGTCCTCAACAGTCCCCCTCGGCGCCCTGCATACCAGGGACTCGCTCATCTTGTTCACCCCTAGCCATCCTTTCTTTCAAGGGTGAACCAGGCCTTCCATCCTGATCTTGCATCTCCAGACTGTTGTAGAGAAGGTGTGGGGCCTGCTGCTGCGTGGCAGCCGCTGTGGCCAGCGCTGAGTGGAGGTGTTTGAGATTCAGGAAGGAGACATCCCAACAAATGGGGATTACATGCTTTTGTCTCCACAGTAACCAGCCACTGCAGGCAGCATTTCTTTTCTCCCCTGCTCTCTGTTTGCTGCTGTTTTGACGCTGTCCTGTGGCTTTTCTTCTGGTTGGGGGTGGGGAGTTGCTGCTGGGCTCTTCTTCGTTGAAGTATGGGGAGCTCAGTGCTTGCATGAGGGCAAGTATGGACGGCTGTGTGGCTGTTGTGGGGCTGCTTTGGGAACCCCCTACTCCTCAGACCTCTTGTTGGGCACATCCACATGCAGTCTTGCTTATCCCTCTGTAAACGTGCTTGGGCTGCCTCAGCCTCATAGGCAGAGCGGCGGAAGCTGGGGTCCTAGGTGCATGTTCTAGATGCTGGGAGGTGGTCTTAGGTTCTGGCATCTGGCCTAGGTGCAACGGGGATTCTGTCCTGTGACTGTTCTACCTTGCCTCGGTTCTTGTTGAAGTGAACTGAGCCCGGCTACCACTGCGTGGTATACTCTGCTTGGCTCCGCATGATACCTCCTCTTTGGGTGCACCATGTCAAAGCATGGGCAGGAGCAGAAAGTTGGGCGGCCTCAGGAGGAGACCACAGCATGTGTCCAGCAACCCATCAGCAGAGCATGTTGGCCACAGGTCCTGAGCAGCCTTGACCTCCAGGAGCCTCTGGCAGGAGGAGTTTCTGCACAGGACATGAAGGCACAGCGTCCCGCCGTGATTGAATCTGAGAGTGAAGACTGTCCTGTCCTCATCCCTTGTGCCAGGCACAGGACTGTGCTGCCTTGTCTCATGTCTTCTCCAGGGACCAGCCACCGCCTCAGTACCTCCAAGCCTGTGCCATGAGCCATGGCTGCTGACAGACTCCACCTAAGGTGCAAAGACCTGATTGTGGGGCATGGCCTCAGGGCCCTGTGTCCCGAGTATTCACAGTGGCTCTTTGTGTGTCCGTAGCCAGCAGTGTGGTGCTGCCACTGCCTGGCGCCGTCCATTTGCCTGGCCATCAACCTCAGTGCGTGGAGACGTCATATTGCAGGTCTCAGCACCCTGGCACCACTTGTGGCCAGTAAGACTTTAAGAGAGCCTGCTCCCAGGAGGAGAGAACCCTGCCCTATAAACTCTCTCTGTGAACACTGGGGTAGGGAGCTGTGGGAGAGTAAGCTGGTGGGTGGTCCTTCCAGAGGCTTCAACCTTCAGCTGCATAGATGGGAGCTGGTTTATTGCAGCCAATTTTGGGTGTAGATTTCTGGTTAAAGTGGTGGCTGATAGCCCTTGTAAGAAAGGATCCATGGGACATGTCCTCTGTGTCTGGACATGCTGTCTGATCATCAAGGGAGAACAGAGGGTCCCAAATACTCTCTTTGGGATGTGACAGCCCTATTGTCTGATGTTTGTCACCTATGAGGGGTCCTGAGGAAGCCTTTGTCATTTTTTCCTGGAGTTCCCATCAAGGTCCTAGGATTTGCACACAGCTGTCCCGTGTAAGCTTTCCCGCCTAATTCGAGGTCTTATGGTGTGTGTGTGGTGTGTCCCCTGCCTTCTCTGTAGTCCCCCAGTTGCTCCATTTTACCCCCCACCACGTGGGCAGTCTTCCAGAAGGAGTGATGAAGAAGAGAAGATGCCCTATACCTCCTTATTTGGGAGACTTTGAGAGTTGTTCACTTCCATGGTGACTTGTCTTCCTTTCACCCAATTTTATTTTCTGTGTTGCATTTCTCCTCAGTCCCTGCCCTGCTTTAGTAAACAAATGATAAACCAGCGTCTAGGAAGAGTAGCTGGGGGCGGCGTGGGCTGTGTGGCAGGAGCAGCCACCCTGCATCTGGTCCCTGTGCCCCTGGCAGTATTTGGTGTGGTGTGGAACGCATCCTGACGTGGCTCGCCCTGCATGGCTCTCCCTGCATGATCGCCATCTAGTGGATAATTCTGTGCCCCGAGGTGCCGCCCTGGACTGGTCTAGCCTCTGGAGCTGGTGCACCATGCCTGTTTTCTCTTTTTAGACACGACAGCCGCAGTTTGGCCACTAAGTCCTACCAGCTGAGGTCTGAGAAAAGCAGGGTGACTCGATCCACTTTTCCAGGGCCAGGAGAGTGGAGTGTCCAGCCTGCAAAGCTGCTCCAGCTCCTTGGTGTTGGTTTGCAATAAATCTGTATTTAAGCAGTTCTGGGTCTGTGTGTGACATTTGCTGCTGAGATAGTCCTGTATGTGTGTGGTCACTACCAGTGAATCTAGCCATGAGGTTCTGAGCCCATGTACATTGAAAACCAAAATGGGGAATTCTTATGGATTGTTTCCCATCCAACCTGAATGCCCTGGGCAAGACTTTACACAGCTTTCAGAAATCCTTTTGGTCATTGGGGGGCGGGGGGGGGGCGGGGGGAGATAGCTATAGATCTTACATCTTTTCAAACAAGTTCTAGAATACTCTTACCTGAAAGTCAGGGTGAGTGCAGAATTCTGAAAAATCGCACTGGAGGGCTGCCTTCACTCACCAGGCTTCTGGGTCCTTGGTCTCCAGGTGCCCCTGTGTGGCTCAGGGTCCTCAGTGCCCCAGGTGCACATCTGCTGTTACCTGCACTGAGCCCTCAGAACACGGGCATTGGCCAGGACATAACCTCATGTCTGACACAGAACCTACCCAGGCAGCCACCTGCCCCTTCCTTCCTAGGTCAGATTGTGGCCTCTCCCCATCTGTGCCCCACCCTATACCTCGGGATCCTAGGGGCAGGACCTGGGGGTGCAAGAAGTATGTCTTGAATAAAATGGACAGTGCTTTAAAGGCTACACAGTGGCATTGCTGAGCAGATGCCTGGGCCAGAAATAACCTGCTGCTGGAAAGGGGAGGCTCCTTCCATGATTTGCTCCTGAAGTGCACAGGAGGGAGAAAGTCAGGAAGTGTTGTGTGGAGGTGTCCAGGAGGCGTCAGCTGCTGCACAGAACTCGCTGCCCAGAACACAGCGCTTGGGGAACAGACTCTCACCCCCACCTCAAATCTCCCCTGGTGGGCCAGCTGGCTGCCAGCCCAGCAGGGGCGGGGCGGCTCGCACTGAGAAGAAGCGGGGTATTGTCAGAGCACAGCCCACAGCCCCCACCCCCTTGGCCAGAGGCTGAGCAGCCCCACATGGCGAAGGTCTTGACAAAAAGCTGGGGTGTGTCCCTCAGCGTGGGCTTCTCCATGGCCAGTGAGGCTCATGTCCACTGTCTGACCAAAGCATCTGGGGACCAGGTGCCTGACCAGGCTGCTGCCCTGGGGAGTGTTTACTGGACACCAGGACGCCCCACATGGTTGTGGTCAGAGAGCGTGGGGCCTCTGCTGCCAGTCCTGGTCAGGATGGTGCGGGCACTACCAGGGGTGAGAAGAAAAACTAATATTAAGACTGAAAGTTGAACTGACCAGCCCTGCCTTCAGAGAGAGAAAAGGAGCCAACGTTACTGAGTTCCCTTGTGTATCAGATCTCCCTGCTGCACATGATAGAGCCTTATGCCAGGGGAGACAGGCTGGGCCAACTGCCCCCTCGGAGGGTGATGGGGACACCAGAGCCCATTGCAGGGCTGGCTGTGGCTGGGCTCCATTGGGCTGCCTCACTGTTGGAGAACCCTGTGCTCCCCATGACTTGGTTTGTCTGGGGTGGCTGAGGGGGTGATCATTGGAGCAGGAACACTGAGTCACAGTGAACCCAGCTGGCCCAGGCCCGCTGAGGCCACTGTGGGGGCATCCACTGGGGTTGCTGGGTAAACCCCTGGCATGCTGTGTTTGCCATCTTCCCAGTTGTGCTGATGGAGATGCAGTTGCACATGGGGGCAGAGGGGACACTCGCAGACACTCAGGGCTGTGCGGCTCCCTGGAGAAGGGTGTGAGGTAGGTGCACTTGCAGGAAGGATACCTGGGCCTGGGAGGTGACCTTGGCCAGCCTCTCTGCCTCTCTTGGTCCTAGGTTTTTTTGCACAGGGCTGAACAGGGCCTCAGGGACTTTGTGATCTAACCTCTCATTGTACTGTGGCCACAGAAGCAAGTGACCTTGCCAAGGCCACGTGGTTGGTGGCCCGGGGGCCCAGACCTGCCAGTCCCCTCCGTGCACCTGGTGACTCCTCATTTGCTTGCTTCTTGGAGCAGCCGCCTCTGAGGCCACCAGACCCTCCTGGCTGATCTCAGTCACCTTGCCCTCCTTTCTAGAATTAAAGAGCAAGATCAGCTGTCCCCAAGTATGGTCCGGGCCATGCCACATGCTCTGGCACCGTGACCAAGGTGAAGGCCAAGGGCTAAGATTGTCCGGGGGCTGCAACGGGCCCCAATCCCAGCAGGCAGCTGATCATGGGACTCTGCCTCAGGCCCCCTGGGTCACCCCTGTCCCCCCAACACAGGCCTGGCACATGTCATGTTGGGTGAAGAAGGACCCCAACATCATTTGCTCACTGAAACTTTCAACAACCCAGATGGTGCCAGGGTGTTCCAAGACAAAAGGGGGGTGCTGAGGCCTAGGAGCCTCCTTACTCAGGTGCAGGGCCCAGGTCTTCCTGCCTGCCGAGCACTGCTCCCCAGCACCTCACTGCTGAGGAGGGGACTGCCAGAGGATGGGGCATACACATGGTGGGCTGGGAGATTGGGAGAATCCACTCCCACAGGGAAAGGGGAGCCCTCACCCCAGGAAGTGGTAGGCCAGGGAGGTTGGGAAGCTGCTCTTGTCATGGATCTGAGGTGTGAGCTTGTCTTCCACGTAACCAGGGTGAGGGCCACTGTGA